CCGCCAATATTGCTGTATTTGTAAATAATAATTCTGTAAAATATAAGTTATCGTAATGAAACAGTAATTAATTCGAGCCCACTGAATTCACAGTGTTTCCTTAAGGAATTTAATCCCCTCCTAGTACCCAAGGTTATGAATTATTTCCTCCCAGGATAGAACGAATCACACACTGGTGTAGCGGTACTTCAAACCCCAGTGTTTCAGCGAATACAAAGTTCGGTAGCAAATTACACTTACAGTTGCTTTGTTTGAAGTTAAAACAATGTAGAACAAAGGAGTAGAAACTCAGAAAATCGTATGGAAATACTGAGAGGAAGGAGTGCAATGTATAGCCAAAGTTGAACGTTTTCAGTTTGGTGTTTGTGTGTCTTTCTTCAACAGCTGCTGCACATATATATAGCAGCCAGCTTTGAAGATGAACGACCCTCCATCCTCCATGGTGGAGCATGCACTAGCTTGTTTGTGGAGCAAGTACTTGGCCATGGTGGAAAGAGCATTAGGTGGTCAATACACGGATTGGAAAATATCCGTTACAAATGCGGATAATCTTTACTATTAACAAATAAATTTGGTCCAAAAATTCGAATTCGAAGCCGAAGCCGAAGCCGAGCGAGCGACGACGTCGACGGCGCGAGGCTTGCTTTCTTCTTAACTCTTTAAGAACTACAAGAAGAGCAATTATATATATATACCCACCAAAAAAATTTTCCTCTTCCAATATGGGACAATGTCTCATTGTCAAGAGGGGGAAACTTAAAATTTTACTCACAAATTTTATTTTCCCTCCATTTCTCATTCACCCTCATTTTAAGACTATTTCATCTTAAATAACAAAACCTCAACAGTGCTTCTGATCCTAATTTAGTATGTTACCTTTGCTTTCAAAAGATAATCTTTTTAGTTATCAAACACAGCTAGAAAGATGAATCAAAACCTGTTGCTACAGATTGGAAAAGAAGTACAAATTTTGAAATATTTAACTTTAACACAACACATATATCTATAGAGTTGATCATATATAAAAGTGCAGTAATTATGTATTTCAAACTATAGCAAGTTTAACTAAACCCTAAACTAATCAACGAAAGGAAAAACAAAAAAGAACAAATAAACTTCAAACACAATAGTTAAACATAATTATACTGTAAAAATAATAATTACCAAGTCAAGAGAACACTAGAAATCATCCACTTCTCTTCTCAATCTCAAGCTTCTGCCTCTTCTGCATGATATTAAGTCCTTGTTTTAAAGCTACGAAAACATCCATTTTCTTCACTAAATTTTTGCTACTTTATGTTGTATCCTCTACTTTACGTTTCTTTGTAACTTGTTTAATTCCTCTTGCCAAGAAAAAGAGAAGTTTCCTAAACTTGGCATCTGATTTTTCTAAGTATTCCCTCAACGAAGCGATTCCATTAGCCAAATCATCTTGTTTCTCCTTCATCTTCTCGATTTCTGACATCAATGTAACGTTGAAATCTCTCTGGCTCCTCAACTCTGTCTCTACCCCATTGTAATAATTTTCTTGATAACAATGTTCTTGAACTTTCTGGTTTTGGTTTCGTCGCTTTATGTTAGACAACAAGTGTTTCTTCCCTGGTTGAAACCAATAATGTTCATACTCCCATTTTTGCAATCCAATCTTCTTGAACCCCTGTTGATCATAATATACAATAAACATTTAAAATAAGATTCACTATTATATTGAAAAATGTAACATAATATAAACAAGAAATAAACAAGGTAACTTACATAGTTATTGAGTTGGTAAATAAAGCTAGACAGATTTTCATGCTTGAAATATTGAGGTAGAAGTTTGGAACATAGTCTGATATGATCCCAAATAATAAAACTGGTACCAGTTAAACTCCAGCTAATAATAGAATTCGTAATCGGATCATCCACCATTTCATATGTCTTCGTTAAGAAAGGAGGTATACGAGGTTTGCGTAATACTATTGCACCATCAGAACCAGAAAATTGACTGATATTGTTCGTCGCCATGTTAATTTCTTGTGTTAAGAGAAAAAGGAGAAGTTTTTTCTGAAAACTTTGCAGATATGTGCTATTTGTTCTTTGTATTTAGTAGCTTTTCTTTTTATTGTTTAGCCACTAATTTAAATTAGAGTCTTTGGATTTAGAATATATATAAGTGATCACATGATATAGTTCCTTTTGATAGATAGTACTATTTGATTCTCCTTGAATTGTCCTTAGTAACATGCAAATTGAAACTTTTCCTTCTTGTACTATACTATTCTAGAAACAGTACCTTGTCTATGGAACATTGTGAAAATTAGTCATAGATTTCAAAAAATTTGAGGGCAAAAAGAGCAAAGGCTAGAGTTAAATGATAAACTTCAGAAAAGGGGTGTTACTCCAATTAAGAAATTGATGATGGAAAGCAGAACAAGAGATATACTTTTTCATATGATCTTTATGTAGAAAAAATACAACAACAACAATTAAACTTCACACCCGAATAAGTTGGGGTCGTCTATATGATCTTCATTGATCATGTTACTTCATATAAACTCATTTCAGGCCAATATGAGTATTTAATAAGAATAGAAATAAAAAAGTGCTAAAAATTCTTTAAATTTTCTACTCACCTATAAATTTATGAAAAGCTAAACAACTCCTAGAAAAGCATGTGACATAAAATAAAAGTGCTAATATGACTAAAACATAATCTCCACTAATATGTATCATTTATATAAAAAAATTTCTTTACTGTACCCCATCTTTCGCTAAGTTTAAATGGATCCCAAGAGACTGTAGGTCTTTCGAACTGACTTCCTTCCAAATTATTTTATGTCTACTTCGTCGCCTTTTAAAACCTTCACAGATGTGAAAAATAATATTTGGCTATAATTTTATATTTTTAATTCATTATTTACCTTATATTTTGGGGCTTTAATACTAAACTATACTATATTTGTGCTTAATTGAATTTATTTTATGTGTATGTACGTTTGAGATGAATTTTGAACAAAGTGACGAATTCCGAGTACATGGTGAATTAATTGTAAATAGTGTCTTTATGATGGAGGACCAAAATTATTCAATGTGGAAAAGAAACAATGCAAAGAGTTGGAAAGGAAAGACAAAAACGTGACTTGGAAAAGTTAGGCAGCAAATCAATTGGAAACAAAGTGAGGCGTCAAAATTCAGCCGCCATATGCCAAGCGACTCGAGAGAAATTCCTCGCGTTAGGCTTCGCGACGCGAGGTCTAGCGGTGCAGGCTGCTTCGCGCGTTCCATGTGGCGATGCATGGTCCGGGTTTCGAAGTTATTTTGTCTCTTATTTGATTTTGGACTTGGTTATTTCATTTAGGTCTTTCACCTACACATATAAATAGTCATTAAACACCATTTTTTAAGGGTGAATTTGACCTAAGGAGGCAAGAACACACTAAGAGCAAGGCGGAGAATTCTTCTACTAATTTTTCACTTCTATCTTTCTATTTCCATTATTGGTTATGAATTCTAGTATTATAGTTTTGCATACTATTATGAATAGCTAATTTGTTATCTAGAGTTTTGATAGAACCTTTTGTAGGATAAATTCTTGTTATGTTTCTATATAATTGAGTCGTTGGATTTCTCTACTTGTTCAACTACGTGTTTATTGTTGTTGATTGAATGTCCATCAAGTGACTGTACCTATTTAGTATGTATTGCTTGGAAAAGGGTACATATTTAGGTAGTTGTTGAACAACATCACTCCTGACGTATGTGAGGAATCAATACGAAGGGTTTAAAGGTGAGAATAGGAATAACGAAACCTTGGTGCGATCTTAGTAAGCAGTAAACTAGTGCCAACTAGCGTAGTTCGAAAGAATATGTCTAGTAAATTGTGTTAGTTGCTCGGAAGAGAATTATGACACCCGAAGTACTCACGATCGGTAGAAAATACTTAGGCGAAATTATAGAAGGCATAGCGGGAAGGATTCCGACAATTGGAAAAATCATAACTCTAGACCTCCTTAGTCTTGTCTCAAATTTCATCCTTGTTAGTTAATAATTTTACTGCTTTATAATAGTTGTTAGTTAATTAGTTAGAAATAAATATTATAATCTGTATAATTAGGAAATTGTTTGGACTTGTATTTCTTAGCAATATTGAACATCTGTAGCTAAGCCTTAGTTCTCTATGGGATTCGACTCTGGACTTGTAAACCAGATTATATCTGTAACGATTGCTTAGTCCTTTTTATAAGGCATAGTTGGGCGTGATCAAATTTTGGCGCCGTTGCGGGGAAAGCTAACAGTGTAGTTGTAGGTGTACATATTGCTAGGTTTCAAGTTTGAACTTTGTTTTATTTTATTTTTTATTTTATTTTATTTTATTCTACTTGTTGATTTGAGAAACATGACATCTTGGAATTATAGGAGTTTAAGTGTTGGTAATTCTACTATTGATCCTTATTCATATTGTGGAGGAAATCACCCATTGCAAAATTATCAAAATATTTTCGAGACCGAGTTATGTGCACCAACTCAATCTTATGTGTGGAATGTGTGTGATATGTGTGGTGGTCAAGATGGTCACTTCATGGTTGTGCTTATATTTCTTATCTTCCTCCAACACCTTACTTTGATGGTTCTTCTTTTTCTTGTGAAGTTAATAGGAACAAAGAATCCAGGAATGATGGCCTGAAAGAGATCAAGGATATGCTAAGGTGCCTTGTGGAATAAGATAATGAGAAACAATTGCACATACAAAGGCAAGATGTTGTTATTCACAACCTGGAGGCACAAGTGAGTCAACTAGTTGAAGCATTTAATGCTCAACAAGCCAACATTATGGATAGTAGCCAAGAAGAGCATGAATTAGATGCTGAAATTGAGGTGCAAATGGAGGAGGTCAAAGCAGAAAACAAACAATCTAACCAACTAGAATTTGAAGATGTCGATATTGAAAAAGTAATACTAGATTCAACCAGACACGTTGGAGATACAAATTTAGTTGACTCTAGTGTGATTGGTGTTGAGGAGGTTAAAAATCTTGAAGTTCATGTATTTGAGCGCGTTGGACCTCATTCCAAACACTTCTCTACATTATGTTCAGATGGTAAAATGGAAATTGATCTGTATGAGCCAATGCAAGAGTCAAAGGAAGAGGTAGATGAGCTCTATATTCTGAAATTTTCAAGGCCGTCTAGGCAAAGTGATACCCCTCGGTTGAAATCCAAAAAGTGCATAAAGAATCATTTAATTTTTGGATCGCAATAATTTGTATCGCCCCAAGAGCATGATCATAAAGTAGAATCGAAACTTGGGGTCCAATTCATAAGTTCAAGGTGGAGGCAAAAAGTAGTTCAAGTCGTGCTGCGATGTTAAATCAGGCGCTTGTTGGGAGGCAACCCATCTTAACTGCTTTCTTTATTTTTATAATTATTTTTTATCTTATTATTGTTGTAGTGTTTGTTTTTATTTTGTAGGATTATAAGCATAGGAGGCAAATCTATTGGAAGAGTGCAAAAGCGAGTTAGATGATGAGAACTAAGTATGGGGTGCCCACACAAAGGACCATGCTTGGGGGAAGTCTGAGTACCCGTGAGCCGCTATTGCATCGGCCTTTGGCCTTTCAGGAAGTTTCTTGTCCACCCTCGTTATTGTTTTGCTTTATTTGTGCATTGGGGATACTGCACTCTTTTAAGTGTGGGGTGAGAGAATTCTCTAGATAATTAGTAGTAGTATGTTAGAAAAATGTTAACTTCTTATTTTTATTTTCGTAGTTGTGTAGTATGTTAGTAGCTCCTAAGAAAAAAACAAAAAAAAAAAAAATAGAACAATTGGACTTTTCCTGACGATGGATCGCCTAGACAGTTTTCTTGAGGGGTTTAAGTCTAAAAAAAATGACAAAAAGATTTTCGTTGTAGGTAGTGTAGTAATTTCTTCTTGGTTTTTCTTTGTGTCGCGGTTCTTTTTCAAGGGTTTTATTTGAATCAGGTGTAGTTAGTTTTTTTTAGGAGTAGGATCCACTGTGAGATGAATTGAATTGAAGCAATATCTCTTGACTTTGTTATGCCTTGAGAATAGTGAGTACTTTGGTTGTGACACTTAGGGTCAGTTTTTGACTCTTGTATAAGTACCTTAAATCGTATGATCTTAACTGCTCTGACTAGAGTATTTTGATAAGTCCAATCCTAAGTGAGTTATGTGCCGTGTGTGTGTGTGAGGTTTGTGTGTTATTCTGTGCATTGCATTTGATGTTTAGAACTTGTCCCGTGTGTTTGCGAAGCGAAGTAGTAGTTTTGTTCAGTCTTGGAAGTGATATAGGCGTTCTTTGTTGAGCTAGATATATATATTTTACCCGCCTAATTGTTATGTATCGTAGTTAACCTCTTTGTGCCTGTAATCCTGTTTCTTTGGTAACCACATTACAAGCCTTACCCCTTTGTTTGAATTAACCATCTATTTGAGCCTTTTCACCGCTCACGAGCACTTGAATTGTTATAAACTTTGTAAGAGTTAAAGTGTGGGGTGGTTGGTTTGGCTTTTGAGTGAAACTAATTAAATAAGGAAAAAGGTGCACTGTTTTGAAAAAAATAAAAATCACTTGAATTGAAAAAGAAAGAAAGGAAAAAAAAAATAGTTGTATTGCTATGAAAAAATATTCCTTAATAGTGGTGATTCTTGGTGTAATTGTGCTTAAAGAAGTATGGAGTTAATATATATTGATGTGAAGGTGGAGTTATGGTTTGACATAAGTGTGAGATTTAAATGTTAAGGTGTATGTATTAAAGTGCTTAGGGAGGTGTAGACACTCTTATATCCAAATGTATCCTACCCGACCCGCAACCTACCTTACAACCAATTAAAGTCTTACTTGATCCTAGACTGAATGAGCTTGATTAGTAGAGTAGTACACTACAGGCAAGCCTATGGTGCATCTTTTGTGGCGTATGAATGTTATTTCTGAGAGTGAGTGAATTTTTTCTATCTTGAGTTCCTAATTGTTCTTAAATTTTATTGTGTGTGGAACTACTCTCTTT